AGGTTCCAGTTGGAATATTTGGTGTGCATGGCTGTTTTCTGCTGAACACCACCTGCCCTTCCTTACCCTCAGGCAGGCTGAGGTGCCCCAGGGGCTGGGGAGTGGCTGCTCAGGCACTTGAAGGGGAACCTCCCACGGAATAATCAAAGTGCAGTAGGTGGCAGCTGGAAGGACCCTACAGAGCATTCAGTCCTACTTCCTCCCACCTCCATTTTATAAATGATTAAAGTGCAGCCCAGAGATGCTCAGTGGCTAACTCATGGTCACACAGCAAGTTAGGGGCAGGGCTGGCCTCACGGAGGGCCCCCAGAGCCACCAGTTCTGTACTCCTGTCCCTGCACCCTTTCATCACCTGGTCCTATGGGGCAGCTTGGGAGGGTACAGGAGGGGTGCCCTGGGAGAGTGCTGGGGCCGTGCAGTTGAGGTCTCAAGGCCGGGAACCAGCCAGCCACTGTTGCCTGACTCCATTCATCCTGGGCACAATGGCCAATTAGTCATTGTGCACCATTACGCCGCCTTAACAACCATGTTAGAGGCAGCCAACACCGGCTTTGTGTGGCAGCTGCGATGGACGGTGGCAGTTGTAATTAGCAGAGAAATCGGGGAGGAAGAAATGTGAAGCTTTTATAGTCAAGCAAACCCCAGAATTGAAATGACTGCTAATTGTGCTTTGTGAGCTTATTAACACGACTCTGGTTAGTAAATAATGCCCCACATCTGTGGGCTTCTCTCTCCATTGTCTTTGGGGCTGAGAATAAGAAAGAAAACAGCTTGCCCTTCTTTAGTGAGCACCTACTATGTGCCAGCACTATTCTAACTGCTCTGTGTGTGTTAACTCATTTGATCCTCACTATTGTGAGGATGCGGAGGCACTGGAAGGCTGAGTGTCTTGTGACAGCTCCTGCAGCAGTGACTGAGCGAGCAGTCTGGCTTGGATGCTCTTGACCACTGGTTTGTAGGCTCAAAGCTGGGTCTTAGTATAAGGCAGGAGAATGTGGGAAAAGTCAGAGGGTCCGTGACCTTGGATGGGAAAATATTGCATCTTCCTTTTCACTCAACTTTAACTGAAACTGAGCATTTTCTTTCATTAAGAAAGTAGGTAACAAACCATGGTATAATTAGCCACACCTTGAAATTGTCACTAACAGAAATCAGCGGTTTTCATACTATGTTACAGATGTTTTAGTACTTTGAAAAATAATTTTTGCTCATCAATTACTTTCTGCTACAAGATCTTGTCTTTTAATACATTAATAAAAGGCACATATATTACTACATATTGCATTTAATAAGTATTTTGGTGATACTTTGATTGGTTTCCTTTGTGATCCTATATATTTTATTTTATGCTTTTAAAGGCATAATTCTGAGAAGGATCCCATATACTCACCAAAGGCAGGAACAGTGAGAAGAAGACAATCAATACCTCCTAGAGGGTGTCTCTGTGCCTCACTCGCATGCTCCAGAAACCATGTTACCTGGAAGTGAGTCAGTTGGATCTTGGTTCACACTCTTTCCACTCTATATAGAGCTACTGGCAATTCCTGGAATGTGCCAGATTCTGTCTTTTCCATACCTTTGTGCAAACTATTCCTCACGATGGGTCAGCTGCTCTCCCTGCCCCTCCCCTATCACCTGGCTCCTTGGTGCTCTTTGGGAAGTGAAGTGCAGTGCCTCCTCCTCTCTCTGGGAAAGCCTCCCTGGACCCCCAGGCTGGCTTAAGTGGGCCTCCCTTTGTGCTTTCCCAGGGTAAGCTCCAGGGTGGTATCTATCATATTAGATTGGCTTTTTAAAAAGTGAATTGTGATGGAGCACTTTGGAGAGAGAGGCTTCTGGAACACAGGGGTGCTGAGCAGGAGCTTTGTTCGGGGACACCAGGACACCAACTCTGTTTTCTACTCTGGATGAGGATGTGGCTGGGTTGGTCTTAAGCGTCTGGAGTGCCTGTGCACATTCTCTGAAATGAGAGCACAGACTGTCAGCGTCAAGTGTCTGGTTGGTGACCTTGCATGTGAAAGGGCCATGCTGTCGCTGGAGTGGGAGGACCCTGCCTTTGTGAAGAGGGTCTCCAGCAGCTGTGTGGCTGACTAGACCTGAGGGTCCAGGGACATGCAAAGTGATGCTGTATCTGCTCCAGCTCTGGATGGCAATTTAGGTCCCCAATGGTGCATGAGCAGATGACCACTGCCTGCCAACCCACACTGCAAGCCCTACCTTGCTCCAGTGCTGCAGTTGCTGTTCTGAGCAGATTGCATGGAAGAACCCATTTAATCTTCATAAGCCCCCTAGAGGTGGGCACCATTATCTCAATCATACATATGTGGAAACTGAGGCACAGAAGGGCTCCATGCCTTGCCCAAGGTCACAGTGGTGGATGGAGTCAGGAGTAAAATTCCAGCACTCTGATTCCAGAGCCAGAAATCTGAACACTAGACCCATCGCATCATGTCTGAGATGTATGCTCCAGAAGGTCTCGTATAATTTAGAAACTTGCATAATTTAGAACAAATCCTGACAAAGGTTGGTAGGTGTTTCTGTTTATCAGCTAAAGTGGCATTGCTGTGCGGTGAGCATGCAAACAGTGAGTTTACGGCCTGCCAGCTTCCACATTTTTCATGCTTAAAAGAAAATGTTTGGGATACATATTGTTTGAAATTTTGCATATAAAGTAAGACTTTATTAATATCTTTATATCATAGTGTCAGATTCACATAATGCAAAAACTCACAAAACGTGAGGACACTATTACTGCTGAGTGGCTTTGATTTTTATGAGTTTGGAGAGGCTAGACTGTGAGCTGCTCTAGGGAAGGCTCCTCTTTATTCACTGGTGTCCGATGTGCCTCGCACAGTGCCTGGCACCCATCTCCAGGAAGTGCCACTCAACGAACACAGACTAATTCAAAGCAATGCAGCATGGCTGGCTTTGGGTTTTTTTTGTGGGGTGGGTGCTGGAAATGGTAGCTACCTTGAAGGTTATACATCTAAATAATTTTGTTTGTCCCAGATTTACCCCCTCCTTTTTCTTCCTTAAAAAAGAGACCAGAGGGCCGGGCGCAGGGCAAAGTGCTGGGATTACACTTGTGAGGCCGAGGCGGGTGGATCACCTGAAGTCAGGAGTTCAAGACCAGCCTGACCAATATGGAGAAACCACGTCTCTACTAAAAATACAAAAATTAGCCGGGCATGGTGGTGTACATCTGTAATCCCACCTACTTAGGAGGCTGACAGAGGAGAATCGCTTGAACCTGGGAGGTGGAGGTTGCGGTGAGCTGAGATTGTGCCATTGCACTCCAGCCTGGGCAACAAGAGTGAAACTCCTTTAAAAAAAAAAAGGGGGACCAGAGGGAAGAGATCTGAGTAGCTGATAATAAAAAATGGGGACAGGGCAGGGGCACGGGCAGGGGCAGGGAAAAAGTCAAAGATGGGCAGCAGGGCAAGAGCCCCACATTAAAGAATGGGGACTTCTGTGTCCGGCGGGGGCTGAGGAGGGGAATGGCTTATGTATTGGTTGGGGTATTTGTCTTTCAGCAATGAAAACCAGTTCTGGATATCTTCACAAAAAGGCGATTCAATTTAAGGTTTGTATGTCCTCCTGAGATCAAAATGAATCTGAAAGGCTGGTCTTAGGGACAGTGTGTAGTGAGGGGGCTATCATAAAGCAGCAAGTCCAGAGAGGAAGCAGGGCAGCCTGGCCAGAGGCAAGCTTCCAACCCTGTTCCCAGCACACACAGTTGAGGGGGGCGGTTCCTGACAGGGAGGCTGGGTACTTACAGGCAGGGATTGTGACCGCTGGCGTCCTCACTTGCATCACTGAATGGTCAGGTTGGAGGGACAGGGAGAGTCCTGTGCTGCAGACAAGGCATTGAGGCCTTGGCCTCTCTGCAGTAGTGACACAAGCAGGACTAGAGCCTGATTCCTGGATACTCTCTCCAGAGGGGGCAGAAATATCTTAACATTTTAAAGGGCCTTCAGAGCACCCTCAGTCTTCATTATGATGGGTCAAAGGCTCTTCCACCAATACACCTTTACAGGGCCTCCCTCCTTCTCACCTCAATTCTATCTTAACCGATAGGATGTGGGGTCTGGGACAGCATTGGGAAGTGGAGGGATGGAATTCTGATCAACTCCAGGGAGTGGATGGCAACATTATACCATGATGGAGGGGTGGTGTATGAGGCTGAGGATACAGGCATGGTGGCCCTAACCACACCCACCCTGCCATGTTTCTAGGTGAGCAAGGAGTAAGATGGGCTGATGGCCCTGAAGGGTAAAATAAGGAGAGGAGATTTCCCAGAAGTGTATAAACCCTGGGTTGGTGTGGGAGGGGTAGTGGGAAGTCATTTTCACGTCCTTTCGTCTGCCTTTGTCCTACCTGCTTAAGAATATATGGGCCCAGATAACTGACTGCCTGAAGGATATGGCCATGGCCTGCTCTTGCCAATTCATTGGGCTTCATTCTAGGTAGGGCAAAGGGACAGGGAAGAGATACTAAGATTAACTGAGCACCTACTATGTGCCAGAACTTTGATGTATGTGACCTCATTGAATCTAATATTTACCCCAACCCCATGAGGCAGTTATGATGATTCACTCTTACTGGCTCAGGCAGGTTAAGGAACCTGTATAGGCCCCTTGGCTGGAAACAGGTATTTTAATTCTGAATAAAGACTACCTTTTCCAGCTTTATGACCAGGTTCTGGATAATGGAATGGAACCAGAAATGGTCTGTGCAACTTCCAGGAAGTGTCATTAGAGGGAGGAGAAGACCTCTTCTGCTTTTTCCTCCCTGCTGGCTGCAATGGGGATGTAATGACCAGCACTGCAGCAGCCAGAGTGGGCCCCCAGGCAAGGTTAGGCAAGAGGCTATGGGTGGAGCTTGAGTCCCTGACACCGAAGGCACCCTGACAACCCTGGGCTCTGCCCTGGAATGTGACAGTTAAGCCCAATTCTGACTTACATATGCCAACTTACAATCACAAAATCTATAAATTTGGAAACGAGAACTTTATTTCTTGTGAAGGATTGCAACCTGCAGGCTGGGAAGCATAGCCTCCCATAGAGACGGAAAGCAGGCACTTAGAGGGAGGGAAGATGTTACAGGAGTTTTCTGCTTGGTAGATTAGCTAGACATGCATATTTAATAGGTTATAGGAGGAAGATATATCCATGAGTGGAAGTCTCACTCGTGTGGAAAGCAAACATGTATATTACATCCTATGTTTGTTTACTTTGGGGTGGAGACCACATTAAACCTTAGTAAATTTAAGCCAGACCAGGTGGCTCACGCCTGTAATGCCAGCACTTTGGGAGGCTGAGGTGGGTGGATCACTAAGTAAGGAGTTCAAGACCAGCCTGGCCAAGATGGTGAAACCCCGTCTCTACTAAAAATACAAAAATTAGCTGGGTGTGGTGGCATGTGTCTGTAATCCCAGCTACTTGGGAGGCTGAGGCAGAGAATTGCTTGAACCTGGGAGGTGGAGGTTGCAGTGAGCTGAGATCACGCCATTGGACTCCAGCCTGGCAGCAGAGTAAGACTCTATTAAAAAAATGTAGTAAAATTAAGCCATATGTGTCAAAAGGTGCAAGGAGGACACAGAGGCACCCTGGGCACAGTTTCTGTGAACTGTCAGACCCAGCTCGGGGTCAGTGGTCACTTATAGGGAAGGAATGCCGGTGAGGGGAAGGGAGTGGCGCCAGGCAGTTGGTTGAAGTCAGCGAAGGACTGAATCTTCCATTTGCTTTGTTTCCAGGGCTGGTTTCTGTTTAACTTTTAGGAAAAAAAGTTTACTGGTGGTTATCAAGGGACGGGGTATAATGAGGCAGGATTGACTTAGGACAGGGTATAATGAGGCAGGACTGACCTGTCTTGTCATAGCTGGAAAACTTAGGTTTTGAGGTTTCTCTGGAATCCTCTTGGTCAAGAGGGCTTCATTCAGTTGGCAGGGAGCTTAAGATTTCATTTCCATTTCATGTGTGGCCCTTTCCTTGCTGGGACTCAGCTTCTCTAGACCTCTGCTGGCTGGACCTATGGAATAAGGAGGGATGACTGGGCAGCAGGGAGATTTCAGCTCCAAGGGGAGAGAACTTGGGAAGGTCTGGGGCCTCAGTTCCTTCACAAAGGGGGCTTCAGAATGAGCTGTTTGAGAAGAAGATGGTGTAGTGAGGCGAGAGGCACCATGGGACAGGGTCAGCCCCTGGCCTTGCTACCTGCCTGCCGGTGTCAAGTGCCCTTAAGCAAGTTGCTCTCACCAAACCTCAGTTTCCTCATTTGCGAAATAGGAACAGTGATACCTACTTCACACCATTGTTGAGACAATCAGAGATAGTGTACATAAAGGGCCTGTGTGAGGCTGGTGCTCCATGAGTGGTAGCTCTTATTTTTACCATTGGCTGAGAGTCCAGAGATCTAGAATTTTGAGTTTGCCATTGTGATCATGGGGTGAGGCACTTAACTTTTCAGACCTTGGTTTGTTCCCAAGTGGAATGGGGGTAAGGGTGGCAGATTGAACTGCATGAACTCTGTCGTTCCTTCCAGTCCTGATACTTAATCCAGTCCACCCTGCCCCCATTTTACAGACAATAAAACTGAGGCTTATTGTGGCAGAGACAACTGGCTGTGCTCCCCTTCTGTGGTGTGGAGTCACTGTTGGGAAGCAGCCATCCCAGTGGGACTGGACTTTCCCCAGTCTGGTTCTCAATAATAGACTGTGAGCTGACAGGATGTTGTATTGTCACTCTGGCCAAGAAATAGGGATTCTGCTGTCTGTCAGCTAAACGTCATGCCCAGAGCCATCTGGGAAGCTGCGTGGTGAAGATGGCAGAGCCTCTTGCAGCCTGGGTCTGTAAATGACACCCTCCCTTCCCTCCATCCCAGTGTGATTTTTGGACTCTACATGGTGAAGACACACACTTGCACTGAATGAAGGCCCTGGGATTTCAGGGCTTACCTGTGGAGCAACTGGTGTGATCTTAACAAACATACCCAAGAGACAGAGCTGCCTGGCCAGCAGTTGGGCCTCCTCTCTGATACTTGGTGACATTCTATGTGACAGTCTAGACTTCTCAATCAGCTTGCCAGTTCCATGAGAGCCAGGATATCTTCTCATGCTCCTGTAGGCTTATGACAGCAGGCATTGGTCACTTCTCATCCACCCCACAGGGATGACCTGCTGGGACCAGGCACCAACTAGTCAAGTCTGGTTGATTTGAACTGGGCATCCACAAGACACCACCTGAGGCCCTCCAGGCTCAGAGCTGACTCTGCCCATTGGGTCCCACTCCCTTATCTCTGGAGGCCCTAGGGATTGGGAACTGAAAAGCCATGGCCAAGGGAGAAGTGGAGATAAACTCTCAGAAGAGAGCGGGGGCAGAGGAAGGGCAGGAGCCAAGGTGAGGGGGTACGGGAGAGACGTCTGTGAAGTGGGGGCAATGATTCTTCATGGAATTGAGTGTAAGTCCAGCTCTGCCCCCAACTTGTAGGTGACCCAGCACAAGTCTAAGGTCACTGAAGAGTTGGTGACAGGAACAAAGACCAGAACCCAGGCTCTCCACCTCCGACCACAAATGAGCTATTTCTGGAAACCACTATCCCTTCGCTCTCTTCCCTGGAACCTGGGCATCTCTGATTAGGATGCTAATGGAGGGAGGGGAGTGAGGAAGTGAGGGAGCTGCAGAGCCAGAGAAACACCTAGGGACTGGGGAGCCAGTGGCTAATTAAAGACTCCATGTCAAAGAGGAATGCCAAGTAGGTAATTTCCATGCCATTTGAATAATGGGGAAAATGGTTACCATTTCTCAAGTTTTCTTGTTGAAAAGAGAGAGGGGAAGAATGAAAGCAGAGGGGAGATGGTGGCTGGAGGGATCCTTACTTGCTGTTGAGGAAGCTGGGGAGGGGAGGGGCAGAAGCAGACTTGCTCCAAGAACAGGGAGGGAGGCAGAACCCAAGGGGACAATTTTCTGCCTTCTTCCCGGAAGGTCTTAGGAAGTTCCCTGAAGTCTAGGCTAGCAGAGAGGGCAGCCATGCAGAGTGGCAATGATGCTAGGTCCCAGGAGAGCTAAGGAAAGCCCACCTCATGGGTGCTTCACACTTCACAGTTTACACAGCCCACATACCTTCTTTGTCTTACTGCATTGCCATGACAGGCTGTGAGGTGAGCAGAGAAGGGATGGTGACGGTGATGATGTTAATGATGATTCTGATTTTAGAGGTAAATCACTAAGCCCCAGAGAGCAGAAGTGAATTGTTCAATGCCACATTTGCTTATATATTCATTCATTAATTTAAGAAAACTGTTTACTGGGAGTGCCAGAGTGAATATCAGGCCCTGTGCCATGTGAGAAAGACCCAAGGATGATGAAGAAGACCCGAGGTTGAGTAAGTGCCTGGCAGGAACTTGGATTCCACAGGGAAAGACCACAGAGGTGAAGGCACATATCACTAAGTGCTATAGGTGCTGGGGTGGAGGGACCTACCCCGCCTAGGGCCATAGGGACTTCCTGGAGAGGTGGCCTTTAAGCTGAGGTTTCAATCAGGAATTTGCCAGGTGACAGGGGAGGAGCACATGCCAGGCTGAGGGAATAGCCTATGTAGAGCAGGGGAGTCCCGGGAAGGCTTGTCTTGTTCAGGGAATATGAGAGGCCCAGTACAACAAGACCACAGGCCACAGGACCCTAGAGGGTGGCTGAGGAGGAGCTGGGGGAATGGAGATGACCTCATGTCCAGGGCTATTGCTGTCTCTCTGGAGCCAGCCTTAAGAACCCAGCCTCCCATCCCACTTCCCCTGCCCCCAACCTCCCCAGCCCAGTCCCTAGAGTTTCTTCAAGTCATGGACTCCCATGGACTTCCTCCAAGAGGAAGTCAAGCTGTGGGATGGAGGGTTCCTACTGCTCTGGTCTATTCTCCCTTTTTATTTTCTGTATTTCTGATGCTTTGTGGTCTGGGGCCTGGCTGATCTTGCAGACGCTGCCTCTCCCATTGCCAGCCAATTCCTAGGGGGTGCCTTTCTTTTTGTTTTTGAGACGGAGTTTCGCTCTTGTTACCCAGGCTGGAGTGCAATGGCACGATCTCGGCTCACTGCAACCTCCGCCTCCTGGCTTCAGGCAATTCTCCTGCCTCAGCTTCCTGAGTAGCTGGGATTACAGGCACGCGCCACCATGCCCAGCTAATTTTTGTCTTTTTAGTAGAGATGGGGTTTTACCATGTTGACCAGGATGGTCTCGATCTCTTGACCTAGTGGTCCACCCGCCTCGGCCTCCCAAAGTGCTGGGATTACAGGCTTGAGCCACCGTGCCAGGCCGGCGGGGGGGGGGGGGGGGTGGTGGTGGTGGTGGTGGGGAGGGTGGGTGCCTTTCGTATGCAAACCAACCCATAGAGAGTCCCTACCTCAACCACCTTCTTTATCATGCTCTTATGCTGATATTCCTCTGCCCTAATCACCCCAGACAATTAGAGATGGTCCCTATACATCAGAGCTCGTAAAATAATGCAAACCAGCCAATTCTATGCCTGTTTACCTTGCCTCACCCACCCTTCCTGTAAAGACCACAATAAAGGCATTTGCCCATGTTTTCCTCTTGCTCCCTCTGCCGGCCGAACAGCCTTGGCTTCCCATGTGGCCCCTGCATGGCATGGCAAACCCCCTCCCCTTGGGAACTGTAACAAGCCATCTTCTCAATGGTAGTCGCTCCTAATCTGTTAGCCTCACCACACCTGAATAATAATGAAATGCACATTTAAAAATACCACCTTCAATCAGTTACATATTGATGCATAACAAATTACCCCAGAACTCAGTGGCTTAAAATAACAACAAATACTTATTGTCTCTCATAGTTTCTTTGGGTTAGAGATTTGGGGAACGGCCTAGTTTGGGGTTTCTCCTGAAGTTCCAGTCAAGATGCTGGCCCAGGACTGCAGTCATCTGAGGGCTTGATTAGGACTGGAGAATATGTCCCGAGATATTCCATTCCAAGATGGCTCACTCAATGCCTGGCAAGGTGGTGTTGATATGGTCAGGAGACCTAAGTCCTTTAACAATTGGACCTCTCTGTAGCTGCTTGAGCATCCTCACAACATGGTGGCTGGCTTTCCTGAGCAAGTAAGAGAGAACAAGGTGAAAGTAGCAATGCCCTAGCCTTGGAAGTCACCCACTGTCATTTTGTAATATCCCCTTGGTTACACATTGTGGGAGAGAACCACACAAGGGCGTGTGTGAATGTCAAGAGGTGAGGATCAGCCAGCCTCTCTTGGAGGCGGGACACCACACCCCTCCTTCCAAGGAAGAGCAGACAGAGTTGCTCCTACAGCAGGATGGTGAGATAAAGTGGCCCCCTTGGAGAATGAGGGCAGGGGCTTTCTAGGTCGCTAGGACAGGGCAGGTCTCTAAAGGCTCTGCCACTAACATGTGGTGTGCCAATGCTCTTCAGGCCTCTGTTTGCCATCTCTGTGCTGTGGGAAGAACTAGTTCTGCTTTGTGGGGATGAGAGAGGGATGGAGGATCCAGTTTCTAAAGGGGTGGTCCTGAGAATTGCAGAACATAGTCTTCCCCATTTTCATTCCTAATCTTGTTTCTTCACATAGTCAGATAATCAGTTTCCCTGGAAGTCTGTGCAGCACTCAATTTGCATAACCAACCAAATAAGCACCATTCTTTCCTGTAAGTTAACTCTCGGCCTATATTTCCAATTAACCATGCAATTAAACCAGGTTGAGCCTTGTTTCCTACCCCCATGACCATGACTTTCCTAGGTGACTTGGAGCAGAGGCAGAGGCCTGTATCTGCTCACCTCCCCAACATTACCCCACACACTGTATGGCCAGTGCTTGGGGGTCAGTCCAGGCCAGCTCTCCTCTTCCCTCCTTCTCAGCTTCCCTTGGTGGTGAGGGACTTAGGATTTTGGTGTAAAAAGGGACCTTAGGACAGTCTCATGTAATCCTTACATTTTACAGATAAGGCTCAGAGAGGGCCAGTGAGGTCACACAGCAAGCTGGTGGCAGTAATACTGGGGCAAGAACCAGATCTTCTGACCCCCCTGCAGGGCTCTCTTGTTCTCCCTGCTGGGTATGCCCAGGAGATGCCCAACTGTGGTTGTTCTAGATGAATCTTGGGTCACTGTGGCTTAGGCACTCTCATCTCCCTGAGAAAGGCAGGGTGGGTGCCAGGGTGGCAGGAGGGAGAGTGGAGGGGAAGGGAAGCTGTCAGTGTGGAATGGCCAGACCTCACACTTACCTGGTGGAATGAGTGTAGGTGGAAGGGAGGAAGGTTAGGACGGGAGGATATATATAAGAGAAGAGAAAACGTGGACCGAACCCTTTAAGACTATCATGCTCAGGGGAGCAATGACAGAACAGGAAGTGCTCAGAAAGCTAGTGCAGAA